ACATTTTGTTCATATTCCCAAATATTATTGTTAATTTTAAAGTACTTTTAATTAATTTTAAATAAAACATGAAAAAACTGTTAGGTAGGTACCTAAACATTTTTGAGAAATTAAATAGTAAAAAATAAATCACATTTTTCACAATAGAGAAGTATCATCAAATACTGAAATATATACAATCTCAATAAATTAAATTAAACTTAACAAGAATATATCTTTAGATATTATTTATGTTGGCTGAAGTTTTAGCCCTCTAATACTCACCTCTTATTGGCTATACCTAACAGCTAACAGCTTAGTATTTTTTATTACATTTATTATTTTTATCTAATAGTTGTAATTATTGAAAAATTACAAGATATAAATTATTTGTTGAATAATAATCAAAACATACTATAATAATTACTTTAAAAAAATATAAAAAATATTGGACTAATTGATGTGTTTAGAGTAGTAGCATATTTTAGAATATTATTAAATATATAACTCCAGTTGATTTTTATAAAATAATTTTATATACAATTTATAAAAATACTTAGAATTTACTTTGTATTAATAGATAAAATTATTTTTCATCATATAAAATAGATTTTTGATTTTTAAACATCATCCAGAATTTCTTTTGACATAATAAATAAAACTGATACAGTAATTGATCATATTAGTATCTTAATATAAATAATTCTGTTTCCTTAAAGTTAAAAACAAATTAACGAGCAATCTCACAATACTATCATGCATTCATGCAAGTACATAATATCAATTGTATTGTCGTTTACATTTGAACAATAAACGTATAACCATAAGTAAAGTAGGCACCTATCAACTTTAATTTTAACGTACGTATAAATGTAAAATATTATACCTGGTGCCTTTCGGCTGGTTGGATACCCGGCCCCGAAGCATCAGCACACCCGCGTAAATTGGACGTCGTATGCTTGTGAAGATTAAATAAGGCGCGCGATCTGACAAAATAATATTGTCGGTAGTTTCGTGCATTTTCACAACGCGCCGACCAATCGGAACCGTATCATTTGCGGCGCTTGCGTGTTGTTTCGCTAACATTTTAGACTGGCGGGATGTTTTTTTTTTTTTTTTACAAGCAAAATTACACGTATACAAAAAATAAATTTTAACTAAGAAATAATAACATTGAATTGGATTCGTTCAGTTTTCCGATATTTTCCGACAAAATACAAGTCTGTTGAATTTTCGACAAGTTTTTCCATTTTAAGGTAATTTTCTTTTTTAGCATTTTAATCATATTAGAATAAACTAGGTCTATGTTATAATACTAATGCTATTGTCGTTATTATATTTTACTTCAATATTAAATAAAAAAATATAAACTGAGTAGGTATTTATAATATATTATAATATTATATCTCTAGATATATTATACAGTACCTAAATTTAATAAATAATAATTAATAACTTCCTATAGATAACTATCATTATTAGAATTTGAATCTTAATAATATTGTTTCTTGCTTTACATGTATCAACAATATTGGTGATTTGAATAAAAACGTAAACCTCTCTTCAATTATATGTATAGGTACCATGGGATACAGCTATGTAATATTTTATTTAATAATTAAAAAACTCTGGTTGGATCAAAAAGTTTGGTATGGAGTAATAGGTACCTACTCAAACATATTTTAGTTCAATTAGCTTCATAATAAATACAAAATTATAAACATATTTTATGTTTTTATAACTTAAGTGTAAAACTATGTATATATAATAATTAATAGATGTACATACAATATTTTAAATTATACAAATAAATTAAATCATCTTAATTATTTTAAGAAATAAATAGTACTGTTACAACTAATTAATAATTCTTAATCATAATATCTGTCTTCTGTATGATTAGTTACTTATTACTTTATTAGTTATTACCTCAAGTACCCATCTTATGCCTACAAGCTATAATAATTATAATAAAATAATAAGCCCTATGCCCACAGAGCTACCTCTCTACATTCCTAAACTTAAAAAATAAAAAATAAAAACTTCAAGATTTTGTATTATTATGCTTAATAAAACAGATTTCAGCCGTAAAATAAAATTAGAAGCCAATTCTTTATAGCCTAATCTAACTACGTGTTCATTTATTTCATAATAGCCAACTTAACATCATTTAGTCAGTACCCAACCTACATAAATATTAAAATTGTATTTTCAACTGGTGAAAATAAAATTGTTGGAAAATAATTGCATCATTCAATTAACGAAGAAGCCAGGTTTTTCAAAAAAATTGGTCAGCAATTATTAATAATCTGTGATTTTCACAAGAATTACAATTTAATTGAATAGTTGAATTTTCTGTATAATAATCAATCTAATTCAGTGACGTATTTATTTGTACTTTTAAAATGATGTGGTGTGGGAAAACGTAATAATATATGTGTCCCCTGTCCACTGTCCACTATGATATTATATTATAAATAGCTACTTAGGTTGCAGGTGTTAGCCAGTAGGTACAGTAGGTAGGTACCTAGATGCTACGTAGTAGGTAACTATATAATATTGATGTAACTGTTTGAGCTTTTATACTATCCCGGAAATAGAGTCCAAGTAAAAGAAAATTGAAAAATCTCACATTGTAAAACTTATATATAGTATAATTTTAAATAAATTTCAAGCGAGCTCGGAATAATAGAAATAGACGTTTAAATCGTTTAATGATGTTAGTAACAACAATCAACATTTAAATCTCATCTGACTGATCAATGTTTTGATAGTACGAAAATGAAATAATATGTTTATTATAATTTAAAGAATCGTACTAATGCTATATTAATTACGTACATAGAAGATATTTTTATTTTTATTTTTTATTAATAGCTTTTTGAACTAGTGTTTGTCTAGTGCTCACAGCTCATTAATTTACCGAAATAAATAACTTGACATATTATACATAAAGACGTTTAGTTATACGTCTTAAAGTTTAATAAACGTAATCTTAATTTATCATTAATTTATACTACTTATGGGTAAATTAATATGCATGTTAATGTTATAACAAGTTCTTTTGAAACATTCGGTATTTTAGACTTACGTTGCTTGGAGGACAGCGCCTTCAGAAGCAGTGTCAGTGGCGCACACATATATTTGCAATGGGAGGGGTTATATAAAAAAATTACATTTAACCTTTAATATGTTAAATATATCAAAATGTTTTTCTTAATTTTATTAATTTTTATACACCTATACATATAGTAAAAAAATATCAAAGGGGTGAATATCTAACGCCACCCATCGTGTATGCGCCACTGAGCAGTATGTATGATTTTGAACTCGCCTCAAAATAGGATTAAAATTTAAAATAGTCTAAAATGTTGTATTTAGCTAAACTTCCACGGCACATATTCCATCTGATGGGGTTTTGTCATGTTTTGTCCACATGTGTTGTTTCTTATGTGTATGAAATATGAATACCTAATGAATATCCTTATCAAAATGTTGGCTTACGGTGAGTAATGTGTGGTATCATTTTAATATCCATAGTAATTAATTACAAAATAATAACACTGAACAAAGAACACTTTGAACAAAAAAGTCAGTAACAGAAAATTACATGATATTTTTGAAATAATACAATTATGATCTTTAAAAAATATTATCTTAATTTGCTGCACTGTATGTATTTTACTGTTTCAAGCACGATTAAGTATAATATGACGTATTATATCTTGTATATCTTCAATCGTGGTTTCAAGTGTTCCTCGTCATTAAGTAAGGCACTGTAATTGTATTGTTCTAAATTTGATTTCAATAATAAATCATTGCATACAAAAACGATTCTGAGTACCTGGTAGCATAGGTATATTAATAAATATGTTTGATATTATGTTTTTTGTTAATAAAATAGTTTATTTTGGTGTTAGACGTTAGTATTGTGGTAGGTAGGTTGGTTTATTTTTCCTCGAATACATTGCATTTATTATAATATTAATGTTTGATTATAATAGAATAGTATGTTATAGTTAATACCAGTAAACCACCCAACCGTGGAATAGTGCACTCTAAGAATGCCAGTTTTTTCCTAATTTTTTTATTCGTTTTTCCCAATTATTAAAAGGAAAGTACTTCCACTGTGAATTTTTTCTTTTTGATCCCCAAAATATCAATTTGATCCACTTTCCTATCAGAAAAGATATAGAAGTTGAAAATCTAAGCATTTTTTCTACTATAAATCGCGTGTACGTCATAAAGTACCTATTACTCTATGGTAGTGTCTGTACTATACTACTATTAACACAATATTCAACAAAAAACATCATTGTAAATTCAATATATCCATCTTGATCTCTCCGTTTAGAATCTAAAATATGTATTAATCTTTTGTAGTATTGTGGTGAATGGTGATGGTATGGTAGTACCTAGCTAATAGGTAATAATTAGATACCTAAATCTCTATAGTAATAATCAGTTAGTAACTTAGTAAGAACAAAGGCTAAAAATAACCTATATAATATTAGACAGACAGAAAGTTAGACATGAGTTGAGTTGTGGATGTATTTAAATCATTTTTTAATGAACTTTAAAATGTCTTAATTCTTAGACATAGGCCAACTGCACTTAACCCGCTGAGTCGATATTCAATTTGTCGAAAAACTCTCTAATGACTAAAAATATAATATATTATACATTGATTATGAATACTAATACTATTTATAATTATAATCAATAATATATGTAGGTATAGCATAGACCTATAAATAATAATATTATGGTCCCAATTGTGGAATACCATTGACCCCCTCCCCTTTCCGGCTTCCAAAATTAATAAATTGTAATAGCAAGTGAACGGTGTACACGTATGAGGTTTTATTATTTTTTGGCATTTTATTATTGGTATTTTAATATTTATTATTTATTGATATAAAGTCAAATACGATGTTGCCTACCATATTTATGTTATATAAACGTATTGTGTATACGCGGACGATGTTTTATCAGCTGGTTGTGGCACAGTTCACCAGGTTTTGAAGATAATAATATTATGATCGTTATCTTTGTTACAACTGGCAACAAATTGTAGCACTTTAGTATATCTATAATAATATTATTACTATAATAATATTGTTGGTGCTAGTTTTTTTACCACCGTCCACTACAAGTCGTGTTTACATTCGGGCTTCGTTCGACGGCGTCGTTAATTATTATATCCTTAAAACTATTATCTAGTGATTAGTCCAGTCTGTCGTGGCACTGTTGAATATTTGAGTTGGACATTTATTATAAGTTATTATTGTAATTATTGAAGAGCATTATACATAATATTAAACACGTAATTATTACTTGACTACTGGTTTAGTTGTAGTCGCAGCCGTTATCCTAATTACAAATTACAATAACTTGGGCTATTTCAATTTTCAATACAACAGGTAACGTCATGTATCTATAATAATATACACGTAACATTGCCCAACATTTGCGACTTGGGTTGTCAGTGAATTTGGAAAATGAGTACTTCGCAGTGAGTGGCCAGGGTAGCTAATATTTCTATAATATGCTTTCATCATTGTTATAGATTAAGTTGGTTTTGAAGTTTGTATTTTTACCATGAGCGATAACGACCCATGCGAATGTTTTTGGAATCATGAGCTATCTATGCAACGACTGCTGTCACTGGTAAGTAAAAAATAATATTGTTATTTTGAAACAATACTTTGAAGTGTATCTGTTCAAGTGCTTCTTGTATAATAAACAAACATTGGCCGATAACATATTGTACCTAATACCTCAATACTTAGTTAATCTCACATTAACTAATAAATATATTAATTAAGCTATTAATTAATATTATAATATTAAAAATATAAAATTCAATCAATATACCACATTTCTGTAATGCTCTTTCTCTATGAATTCCAACTTCATATTGTTGTATTGTTATATGTTAAATACAAAACATGACTCACTATGCTTAAAACTATGGTCTCAACATAATTTATGCTCTAATTAGGTACTTCATTTAAGTACACATAAAAACTTGTTTTTTTTAACAATTCCTTGTACTTTTGATTAAGTGTAGATATTCCTAGTAAAATTAGTAATAAAAAACTTTTATCACAAATAGTGTTAAATATAAATAGGTACCCTACCTATACTATGTCTCAAAATAGAAAAATCACTTTTTGTGCATCGTCGGTAATTTGATTGGCACATCGAGTACCATGTGATCACTTTAATACTCGACATAGGTGGGAGGTGCGCAACACAAACATAAATCGGTCAGCTGACTTATTATTCTCTTTTGAGACACAGTATAATTAGTTATGATTATTGAGGTCACAGCTGGAGAGTTCAATTTAAATCATAATATCTAAATACAACTGTACAACATAATTTTTGTTGTCAGTGATCTATAATAACATCATAATATGGCCTGTCATTGATATATTTTCTTCTCTTGATCCCCTAGCTACTAGTTTTCATCAAGACATTTCTCTAATTTTACTGTCAAATTGAGACTTAAAGTTCTATAAAAATTTGTCACCACTTTAAGTATACTATCAGATCAATAGAACAATAGAATATCCCAATTTATCATAAATATGTGTAAATAAAGTAAATAATAGTCAAGACAATAAATTGTGACCTAATGAAGACTTAAATAATATTTTACTAAGATAAGTTATTAATTAAGTAACTAATTAATAATGGTGACCATCAATTTTAAATTCCATAAAGTATTGTATTGGTTGTTAACCTGTTAATAGAAAAAGCCATTCTTACATTTCATGATAATTTAATTTTGACTATAATTTTATAATATAATTAAATAAGTATTTAATTTAATGTAGATATGTTTAAGGTCAGTGTCACACTTGTGGAATTTCTGCAATATCAAAACAAGTGAAATATTTTTTCCGCTATAGTATATTTATATGTATATAAAAATGTGTTTTGATATCTGCTAAATCCATGAGTCGATTTTTCGCAAGTGGGATATTGGCCTAAATTAAAAAATATCTATGTAATCAATTAATAAAAAAAATGTTTGTAGCTACGTCAGTCACAGTCGGCATGCACAGATATTGATTGCTTGGAACCAGGTAAATTTAGATTTTATGTTTATAGTAAATCCCTAAAAACTTTTATCTTTGTTGCATTGGATAATATTACAATAAGTCTTTAATTTTTAATTTTCATTATTTTTTATTGAGCTACATAGCTGACATCATGTATTTATTTCTAAAAATGTATTTTTTATTTTAACAATTAAATGAAAATTTTTTTTATTACAGTATTAATACCAGTTAATTTGAATGAGAAAATGTTTAAGACGTTTTTAATATTTGGTATTCCTGTAGAAACAAATTTAATTGTTTTTAATTATTATGTACCTTTACAGTAGGGAAATACACCTATATTGGGCTATAAGGCTGTACTTATTCTATTTGATAATATTTATGATTATTTTATAACTATATGTTAATAAATTATAATATAAAGTTTAATTTTTATAGTGCAAAGATTGGATGGTCCATTGGCATCAAATAGTGAAGATACTAATTTCATCTTATTAACTGGAATTTGGGTTGTTATTGCTATGGCTTTGTACTTTCTGCGTCCTAATCCGGCTCGTGCACAAGAGGAAACTATAAAAAAATTACCATTTGGTGGATCTGACAATAATGGATCAGATGTATGGATTACGTTAAAACTTATTAAGAATACTTCAGATATTTATAAGAATATTTTTATTTTTAGGATCCACCATCGCCACCTCCTCCATCAATGGGAGCCCAGTGATAATATGATATTTTGACGATACATTCTACAAGAATTTTGAGCTCGCTCAATCTAAAATTCCCTTCCATTATTCCACAGATAATCATTATAATCACATAGATTTAAGAACTTAAAATTTTAATTAAAGTTTCCCACTTGACTGACAAAATCCACTGCACTAAAGTGAAACATCTATTCATTGTTTTTATACTACAAAAAAATAAATATACCTTAACATTAAACATGATAAAATTATATTATATACGCACACATAAGATAATTTTTTTTTTCATCTATTATGACAAACAATGAAATTATATTGGAGATCTGTGTTAGTTGAGTGGAAAATATTATTATTAATTATTATACATTATAATATTATATATTACTTTTATCATATGCAATAACAAGAAGAGAATATGTACAGAAATGTATTTAGTATTGAGTGTGTGAATTGATTGATTTATTATAGCTGTTTTATTTTTAATTTAATTCTTATTTTATTGTTATTTTGTTAAATTAATATTTTAATATATTTACAAGAACCGATAAAGCATAATATTGTTAATATTTCATGGGGATGAATTAAAATTTACCATAATATGTATTCAATTAAGTTTTTACATTTTCTTAAACGTAACTTTAAAAATAAAACAAAAAATCACTCTGTTGCATGGGCGGATAGGCCAATTTTGGCCTACTGGGAAATTTTACAAAGGGGCCCCTGAAAAAAACACATGAAACACATGAAAAAATTATTTCTATCATAGGCAATTGCATTTTATTAAAGGGCCCCAATACCGAAATACGAAGAGGGGGCCAACCGAGAAACCGGGCATTTCCCGGTAGGCCTATCCGCCCATGCTCTGTTGTATAGTTGGTGTTGAGTGCACCCAAGCCTAGTTAAATGATCCATTGAGCCTTTTACTCTCTTACTTTGCACATGGTGTTTCAATATTTTTACGGTGAAATGTTATAATTTTAGTTTTGAGCGGATGTTAATGTAATTACTAATTATTTTATAGTGATGAATGTTTATTTTGTTTCTGTCTACATGTTATGTTTCTTTAGTAGACAAAACGTTTTGATCATGGTTTCTGATAGCATATTGGAACTAGTTGATGCTTTTGTTTGATCACAATTAAAGATTCTCAGTACTTATCAATATAATAGGGAAATACAAAATTAAAGGGAAAGTAGGTAACCACTCTGGCCTCTTATGTACATAAGGTCTGTGTAGTCACTTAGTCACTGTAATGTATGTTTTAAATTTAAATTAATGATCAATCATTGTTTACAAAAAATGATTCTGAGCAAAGACCCGAATCTTTGGTGAGTGACAGCTTTAATTATTAAGTATATTTAATGAATTATGATATTTTATTTATATTACTATCTAAGTAATATATTTCACTAGTTATTAGTTATATAGTAGGTTGAATATTTTTTTTTTTAAAGAAAACTTCTGAGAAACCTTCCATCAAATTTTCAAACCTTAGTCATTGATTATAAATTGTGTATAAGTATAGGAAAAAAATTAAAAATTAAATGATTTTTAAAAACAAAATAGTGAACAAATTTTCGCAATTTTGATAATTTTTGTCGAATGGGATATTAAAAACTTATAAAAAAACTGTGACTGTATTTTTTATTACTGTAAGAAAAACTTATGATGATCGTAGAATTAAATTTTCAAACTCTTATACTACTATCAAACAAAAATGTTATCTTCCCCAAGTTTAAAGTCTTCCTAAACTTAGAATGACAATTCTTATGTAAATATAAAATAGCTCAAAAACTGTCAGAATATATTTTTTTAATTTTTCATGTGTAGAAAAGGGAAATCCAAATATTTTGGAAAAATTCTAGTCTACAGTCTACTTTTTTGTTGTTTTCGAATTGTGGCCAGCAAAAAAAAACAAATTAGATTTTGCGAAACTGGTTTTTAATCATAAAATATGTTAATTTCATGTCCATCACTGTCGATACAACTCATAGACCGTGTACTAAGTATAGGTTAGGTAAGTTAAGTATTCTTAGTATAAGGTCTATGTTAAAACTGCATAATCGAAACTAGAAAATATTATGAGGACTGTCCAAATTATGTATACAAAAATATATTTTTAATTTTCAATTCTGTTAAGTCAGGCCATGGGACCTGTATTCCGTAGTTTCGCCCATGTGTATGAACTAAGAGTTGTGGGTACAATAGACCTATCCATAGATTAAGTAGTCTATGATGAGTATAGATAATATTAATATACGGATCACCTTTCGTTTCACTAAAATTCCTAGTTAACTTAATATCAAATTGTTTACCTTTATTTCTACTATTTTAAGCCCCTTACACACAATAATACGGTTTGGTTAATCCAACAGGATAAGAAATTTGGTCAGGCCGTGCAGACGTGTTTTTACATTTTTAAATTTGTTTAAAATACATATTAATTCATATTATTCAATTTTATAATTCGAAAGAAGTTAGTTCCAAATGTCCGATAGATTGGATACCTAATAAGTAATACTATGAAAATATCTCCACGAAAGGTAACACTGGTAATCTTTGTTCACGGGACGTCGATTCCCACAGCCGCGGTACAGCCTTAAATAATAAATACCCGACACCCGTGGTCCTACGCCTACCGTATAATCCTAGTTCCTACTCATGTCAGACCAATTTTACGTATTATAATAAAATGTTCGAGTATTGGCTAAATGCTGATACTAAAGAATAGTGAATTTCTTCTAGAGGGGAGTACAAGGACTTACACGCATGTAGTACAAAAATACAGAATGGGTGAAACTATTTAAAATAGTATATTGAATATTCTGTGCATATAATAATATATTGTATGGACCCCGGCAAGACAAAATAAAAATTAATAATTGGTTATGGACAGCGCGCCATTATACTCGTTCTCGTTTTGTGCATAACTATTGTTCCGTAGTATACTAGTATAGTATAAGTATATGTATAACACTATATCCGTCACACCGACAGGCGCGGCCGGACGCTGGAAGGCTTGTCAGGCTTGAACTGAGTTTATGAAGGACTTGAAGTTGAAGCAAATACTATATAGGTACGATATCGTATATAGTATTTGCTAATTGCTTGAAGTCATGACGTGCGAGAGAGAGAATAAAGTAACTTTTTCAAGGATTTCATAAACAATTTATACAAAACTGAGTGAGATTATAAATATTAACAACAAAATTGATAGAAGTATTGTGATATGAATGATGATGATAACGTTGTCAGTAATCAATCACCACGATTTTACTTTTTATTTTTTAAGATAGAAATATAGAAAGGACTGGATAGTGGAATAGTGGATACGAAAGTAGACGATCGAAAAAGCCTAATCACCTGGCTTATTAATCTTTTATCTATGACCTATACTTCAAGTTCCCGCAGTAGGAAAGATACCCGCCTGTTTGTTTCCGGCTTGTAGTCTTTACCTAATTATTAATTAATGAATCATGTTGAAACTTTGAGAGTCTGAAACTAATTGTGAAATCAAGTTTTGTCAAAACGTATTAGGTTCTATTGAGTTATTTAAACGTGTATTCAATATTCAACATTAATCTTATATAATATTTATCCTAACTACTAAGTATAATGAAACTCAGTATTTTCACTTTAAATATATGGTATTTACTATTTTGCTATTTTGATTTTTGCTTTATTACTTAGTACTTACTTACTATATTATTTTGATCAGAGACAAATATAATTTTAGGGGTTTGAAATTTGCAGCCAAAGATCGTAATGCTCGAGTACGAGCATTAGCTGACAGTTTAACAAACAATGGATATGATGTTGTGTGCTTACAGGAATTATGGTGCGAAGATGATTACAAATACTTAAAAGCATCTTGTGACAATGTATTTAAATACATACATTATTTCCACAGGTATTATGTTAGATAAAATGCTTAAACTATTAATGAATACCTAATTTAAAATATATTATATTACAATTAAGCTCATCAACAGCTTCTACTAATGATTAAGACAAATGGTACAGCTCTGATGGTAAACAGTCAAACAGTCCCATTTGGCTTGGTATAAACTCCTTAAATTTTTTTTTTTGAACACCGTATACAAGGTGATCCATTTAAGAAGGTACACTAATTATTCAAAAAAGTATTAACTTTTTTTGAATTTTTGTTTCTACACTTAGATTTATGCTTTCCTCAAACTGTATACTATTTAAATTTTTTTCACCCTTATATTTATTGCTGAAACCAGTGTCAACTTTTGATTTTCAAATGGTAACATAGAATTTTGGTCATAAGTTTCATAAAACTTTTTTTTTTATACATTTTCACACTAAAATATTTATTTTTCGTTATTTGGTTTGCAAGATTCAGTTCCTCAAAGTTTGGTGGTTTAAGGAGGTGGTATAGTTGTTAGTGCTTCAAATAACCAGTTTTATACTAATCATTCTTTATAATTTGGCCTAACGAATAAAAATAACCTATCTTGATAGGCTATAAATGTGTAGGGTTCAAAGTACAATAGTTATCACTTATTAATTATTACCTTAGGTTGAACAGTATCAAATTCATCACTTATAGCTCCTGGTCTTTACAGATAAATAAATAGTATAATCAACACCTCCTTAAACTAGCAAACTTTGAAGAACTGTATCTCGCTAATAAAATAATGAAAAATGTTAATACTAATATTCATAAATAAAATGGTTTAATTTATTTATGACCTTTTTATCATATGTTCTCATTTGAAAATCAAAAGTTGATTGTGGTTTCACCAATAAAGGTAAAAAAGGGCGAAAAATTTTTTTTTAAAGTTAATAGTTTTTGAGATAATTGGTGTACCCTCAAATGGATCACCCTGTATACTATAATAGACAATACATATTATAAACTGTTTCTGAAGACAAAAGACACTCAAAGTGTTACCATCAAAGTTTGATAAATTATAATGCAATTAGGTTTTTACAGAATTTCATCAACAGATCACCGATGTCATTTGATTAACCTACTTTTCTGAGTTATTGCAAGATGCGCCATAGCGTGTATTATAATTAACATAGTTTTCACAGTTCTTTCAAAATTAAATATGGAGATAACTATCATAAAAAATATTTAAAACTTGTCTACGAAGAGTACCTATTCATCATACAAATGTGATTTTAAAATAACTAGTTCCCTATATTTTAATGCTAACATTTTTGCTATTGCTTAAGCTCAAGAAAACAAAAAAAATATAATGTTTCTTTGAGCCTTGTCCTAGACAGACTATCATAACAAGAAACCTAAGCCTTATATTCAGCTAATACCTATTACCTCTTCACATTATCTTTTTTCCCTCAACTCATCCACCAACTTAAAGAAAATCCAAATCCATGCAACTTTCTGCATATCACTTTTTACTGCCCACTTTCCTGCACTCACATCTTAGTACATCTTACCAAATTACAATCTCCTCCGAGTCCTCTAGTTATTTCCTTCATAATGAAGACGGGTTTTTTAATTTTAATATTTTTTAAATATTTATGTTTATGATTTATTATTAGAACATTATGGGTAATAACAATATACTGTAATTTGTTGTACTATAATAGTTTATAAATAAAAGCACATATAAAATAAAAAATCTTAAGTTTAATTTGACATTTAATATTATTGTTATTATTTTTTAAAGTGGCATGTTAGGATCAGGAATGTGCATCATGTCACGTTATCCAATAATTGATCACCATTACCACTCGTTTATTTTGAATGGTTATTCACATATGTTTTGGCATGGAGATTGGTTTGGTGGAAAAGGCATTGGCCTGTGCCGTCTCAATGTCAAAGGCTTTATTGTAGATGTATACACTACACATGTAATTTTATGATTTTTTATCAACAATTAATATTCAACTTAAATAAACTTAACTTTTTAAGGTTTCTTTACTTCAATAATCTTAGTACCTAAATCAAAACAATTCAAATTATGGCATGCCGAAAGCTTTTTTGTTAAGAATATTTTTTTAGTTGGATTGCTTACATTTAAAATGTATAATATAGTCTATACTTAACAATCATAATTTAAAATATTTTCTACCAAATATCATGGTTTGAATAATATGCCCTACAGCATAAAACTGGTTGTGTGATAAAATTTTATTCATTCATTTCAGCTTTCATAAAAGTTTGGCATGTCATAATCGGTACTGTTGGATGGTACTACTTGGTACTCAAATCATAAATATGTGCATGATTTTTTAATTTTATCTTAATTTCAGTTACATGCTTGTTATAATGCATCAAATGATAAATACACAATTCACAGAATACTACAAGCTTTTGAAACTGCAAATTTAATACGTATTACATCTGCTGGTTCTGATTTAGCAGTTTTAGCTGGTGATCTCAATTCTAGTCCAAATGACATTTGCTATAAATTAGTATGTTTGGGTGCAAACATGATGGACTCTTATTCAGCGGTAATTAAAAAAAAAAGGAATTTATAGATCCAATATGAAATTACTGTGGCATAATATTTAAAAAATATTTATAACTACGGACTATGGTAAACTCTTGATTATCTACAGAATTATAGGAATTATGTAAAAAAAAAAATATCATTGATTAATGAACGCATGTAAATGGATCAGTACAAACCGATTTAAAGTTAAACAGAAAATGTCATTTCTACAGTTAGTTTCATGAATTAGTCTAGTCTGGTTGCAAAAACAAGATATTTTTAATGAACTTGTATATTAATTAAATAATAAAAACTTATAGTTACTTGAATATTTTGTTTATTAAGTCATAGTTGTGTGTGGGTCCAATACTATTCATTAAAAATGTTGAATAACATTCATGTGTTCAGTATTGATTTGCATTTTTTTCGGTTTAACTACTTTGGCAACAGCACTCAAATCTATAGTTTCTACAGATAATCGGGTGTTAACTTTACGTTAATAATTTTTTTTTTAAGTCAATAACAATTAGTTATTACTTTTTTAAATTTTTATTAATTATATTATAATTATATTATATTATGTTTTAGTGTTTAAACAATAGTATTGAGTATACTTACAGTCATCCTCAAAATTCATACAAAGATGCTAATGAAATAAATGATCGTATTGATTTTATACTGTACAAATTTAATGAAAAGAATTTAGTAAGTTCATTTATTATTTATTATCCGTTTGTACCTATGAATATGAAAATATCAAAGATAAAACATAGTGTAGAAGATTAAAATCCTTCAACATCCTTGTGGAACTACTATACGTAATGTAATATACTGTGTAACATTCTATAACTTTTGTATCGTTAAGATTTTACTTATTTCACATTTGAACCAACTTGATTGAATATAGGTATAAAATGTCTAATATGCAAGTATGTTAACATGATTGGTATCATTAAAAATTAAAATGTACTGAAACTGAACAAATACTACAATAAAAACAAATATATATATATATAGATTTGATTAATAAAAAGTTGTATAAAATATTTAGGTGGTTGTAAATGAACATAGACATTCATTACCACATCGCGTTCCTGGACAAGATTTCAGTTACTCAGATCATGAACCAATTGAAGCAGTGTTTGAAATATCAGCAAATATAAGTATTGAAAGAAATATTTCTAAGAATTTTGGTGAGAAAATCGTTTATATTTTATGGAAAATATTTATACTTCATTTATATTATATTTTCAGGCTTGAAATTTGAAAATGAATTTCGGAACGTTTTAAATACTTCTCTGAATATCTGTAATGAAAGAGCTGTAATAAATCCATTAATATCATCATGGTATCTTGTATTTGCAATCATTTGTATAATATTTAGTATATATTTGGATCTAGTACTATATACTGATACCATTGTTATTACTACTTTATTTATTGTCTTCATCATGTGGATTTATAACTTGGTTACAAAATTGACAGAACAAAATTGTGTTCTCGGATTTCGTCATCGTATAGAAACATTATTTTATAATCAATGAGACAGAATGTTTTTTTCATAATATACAGGGTTGAGATACATGTAACAGATAGCGCTGACAGATTTAATTAACTAACTACATAATATATTTTATTCTAGTTTATATTTTTGAAGTTCAATTATGATTATTTTTAATTATTGACATATTAAAAAAAAAAAATGTTTATATTTATAAGTACAAAAGACTAAAGTTATTACATAATTAATTACACTTGTCAGTTATTTCTGTTACATCCTGCTTGCTTGTAATTTTTCCTTTTTTTTTAAATGCTTCAAACACAATTTTAGAATTATTAACATTAAATAAGAAGTGACCTAAATACCTCCTAATTACTCAAAAATGTATTTAATCAATGATATATGTTCTTAACTCTAAATCATTATCATTCCCTAGCTCTTAATTTTTTTTTTTTTTTTATTGAACTTGAGCCCGGCAACTGTGGCCATTAGCTATTAGTAAGTATTGTAGGTTTGTATTATTGATGGTTTGTATTGTATGTTTTTTTGGGACGGTAGGGGGGAACTCGTGTGTGAGCTCTTAATTTGCAATAGCTGTTATTTTACGTTGTTAGTTATTTAATTATGTTTAATCAGTTAACTCAATATAATGTTTTCAAAACAATATTTCAGTTTTAATTAAAATATTAAATTGTTTAACAATACCTAGGTAGATAGTATCTATAATTAATAAATCTAGATTTATTTTTATTCAAAAATGTTTAAAGTAGGAACATCGTGCTCGTACATATATTGTATATTAATCAGGGTATTTGGACGTTTCCCTCTCGAGGATTTTAGTGGCACTGGACTTCCTTCCCTCCCTGACTAAGGCATTTCCTCCCTGAATGAATATATATTTTTATACACATAATAATAGATTGGAAAATAGGTTCTTTGGTTTTACCCAAAATATATGATCATTTATCAACTATCATTATTCACGTTGTGGATTTATTACCCAAATTAATGGTTAATGATTGATAAACCAAAGTTATGTAAAAGTATTATTGGACTATATTTATACATTAATTTATCAATTTGTATGAATATTTAATGAAAAATCTCGTAAACAGTACATTTATTTATTTGTATTTGTAATTGGTATTTGGTTTAATGTTTAATATTTTTTTAAATCTATATTAGTGATTTTTGTATTGTCAATAGTGCTTTAATCTATTTTTGAATTATATTAATATGTTTTATTTATTTATTTAATTAAATTATTAATTTATTAATGTATACATTTATTGATTTGAATTGCATATTATTGCTTAATATTTTTACTTATAATGTTTTGTTAGGGGAGGAAATGCCCTGTTGGGGGGGATGTCTAATGCATCAAGGGGGAAATGTTCTAGATTTATTCATTAGTAATATATAATTTTTTTTCTATTTTGTTAGAATTGAATGATACCTATAATTGCTTAATACATGTGCTTTAACAAATAATAAAGTATTACCTAATATTCAATATTATTTAATGTTAATAATTAACAATTATTGTTTTGCTTTTACTATTCATTTCAAATTTTAATAAATATATTTTAAAATATAAATATCATTATTCATTATCAATTATATTATTAGATACCTATTTAACTTTCTTTGTTTACTATAGCCAAATGACTAAATCTGTTTTAGGTCATGGTGGACCTTATGTATGTTTTGATTTTACTTAAGTATAAATAAATTCATACTTTATAGGTGCATCCACATTCCACAATATTATTATATTTATATATTTTATGTACAATCTTGGCTTATAGGGGTATGCTGCAATTTATGAATAATAATTATAAGTATATAATACTATAAGTTATGTAGATAATGTATCACCATTTTTTGAAAAATATATTATAATTGTCATCATCATTAATCATTATTATTACTATTATAAATGTTGGTACATGGTGATTCGCCAAGCATGCTCACCCCCATTTTTTCCTTTAATAATAAATTTATTAAAATTCATATTTTTGGAATTTTTAAATATACCTACTCAAAGACCATATTTTGAAGTACTATTATACTATTTATTAGTACTTAAAGAGTGTCCTGTAGTGATACTACTGTTTTTCAAATGACAACCCCCTCTTTTACTCTAAATTAATTAGTGGATCATTTTTTTGAAAATTTTGATGTATTATAATAATTCAAAATTTGAATGATTAGTTTCTTATAGTTAATAAAATGTTTGTATTGAGGATAATAGTCCTTAAAACAAAATACATAAATATAAGATAGGTAGATCTAAAATTGGAAATTGTATCTAGTAGGTATTTATTATGCTTGGGCCATTTTTACAAATTATTAATATTGATAGATTAATATTAATGGCTACAATTTCATATCACCATTAGCCCCCCTCCTCCCCACAACTTATAAACTACTTTTATGGACCTTCTATCTGTAGAACTCAAAAACTAGTCGTACAAATTTTGTTTTTGATACTCCAAAAATTTCAGAAAAATTATCTACTGGATAATTTTCAGTTGAATGCGATGATTTAGATTTTAACCAATAATCTCAAAGTGCAAAAAGTAAAAGGGGTTAAAAATGTCTATGGTAGCTAAGTTCAAATAAAAAAAATAAAAGTTATGTAGTTCATTTTAAGGATTTTACTGAGAAAAAAACTGTTGGTCAGTTGACCTCTACTCCCCCCTCCCCCCCCCAGGGTCTGCGTGTTGCATAAAAAATGATTAAATTTAGTTCATTTACCACTAAATCTTGTTTAAGAGGACGTAGCATCCGCATGTGTTTTCTTCGTCTTACACACGTAGGATATATAGCAAATTTTCGTATACCAGATTCAATAGTGTGCTCTTAATTTTGATATTGGTGATAAACCTATTACAAAATATAAAGGTAATATTATTATCTATAGGGCCCCACGTAGGCTTTTATTGATATTATTGTTTTTAAGTAAGTTATAATCATTTTAAAATATGATAAAAATCTTACCTTTAAATTGCGTAATAGGTCAATTCACTCTTATATCAAAACTAACAGCACACATATTGAAACAAATTGAATAAAAATTTGCTATGCCGTTCGTGTGTGAGCCGGAGATAACACATGCGGGTGGGACGTCTTCCGTCTTCTTAAAGGACCATTAGCTCACTATTGATTCATTAAATGTTTAGTGCAACCAATCATAAGTCAAATAATTATTATTTATTGAAGTACCTAACCTACCTATGAACTTTTTTTTTGAAATTACTAAATATTAATTTTGAATAAATATTGAATATTATTTGATGCCAAAAAAAATATTTTTCCCTTATTAAGGAATAATAAACTCCCTTAAAATAAACCAATTACATGTTCTATAATTATCAATTGCCAGATACAATTTAAAAATGTTTTTATTTCCACTTATTATAAGTAGTTGGGTCGAACTCATATATGAATAGGTAGATTCTTGAGAAATGTCTTTTTGAAAATTCGAAATTGAACGAAAAGTTAGTTATATTTTAGGTACTTATTTGTCATTTGAAATTTAGGGGATACTAATGAACCATGCAAAATGTTGATCCCTACATTCTCCTCATATTTTATGCGTGTAGCTAAACGCCGGGATTTCTATGCATTCGAATGTTTCATTTGCTGCTACAAAAATAATTGATCGTTAGCTGTATGATTACGACTAAAATTTTTGCACATTCTGAATTAAATACCTGCTAGAATATTTTTTTTCCTATCAATATGCATAATACTATAATAGCACAAGTATTTGGCACATTGGTTGCCGTGAAGATCACGAGAAGTCAATAAAATTCTCTAGCGGCACCAGCTTACTATATACTACACACTATTCTAGTAATCTAGTAGGTACCTATACGACTAACGAACGATTTTTATTATTTTCTATTCTTATAATTTCATACGAGTATACGACACGCTACTAGTAAGTGAAAAGTCGTACGACTTCAAAACGTTTGGCTACAACCACCTGTCAAGTAGAAGTAGTATACCTACTATTGTGTACTGCCTTCATAGATAATATTGTAATTTGTAGTAGTCACTAGTTACATACTTGTTCTATAATACTACGTACATACAATTTATTTTCCAAATTAGGTTTCTAGTTTCTACGCTGTATAACAATAATTAATATGGAGGTACCTCATTCAAACTTACTGGTTCTCCGATATCCACAATTTTAAATAGTGTAGCCATAGTATATAGGTTACCTACCTACTTAGTACTTAGAACTTACTTAAAGTTGTGATTTTTTTTCATTAGGTAGGTATATAAGAATTAATAAATAGAATTCTGAAGAATTTTGCAAATTTATACTTATATCTTATATTTTATTCTCTCACATGTTTTGTATAAATATTACTAATATTAGTATATTTTATAATTTATACATGTTGTTTTGATAATCTCTATTCACTATTAAAGAATCTTGAAATAGTGCGATAGTGCGAAACAATTAGTACCAACAATATATGTGATGCCTATTTTCAGAATGCATACCTATAACAGTAAACATTAAAATTAATATAGGTTATTCCTATCCTATCATATTCACATTCGGTGTTTCTAACCGGTCAACTGCGGCAGTACGCGTTCTGTTTGCCTTTTATTTTATTTTTGTAGTTATTCAATAAGTAAAATTTTCATTAAGACTGAAAGTTGTTTTTTATTTATATGGCCATGGAATAACATATAATTAAATTGTGCAGAGGGTAATTGTTGTTCTTATTTTAAGTATTTTTAAACTATTAATATTTTTTTAATTTATCGCTGTCTGAAAAACAATTGTTAGTGCATATTATGAGGTTTAGTCCTTTGCTTTGAAATAAGAAATAAAAATACATGCTGCCATTCAAAAAAGTAAAATACATAAAAACGACAACAATAAAAAATAAATTTATCTTTAGTAAATTGATCTTTTTATGAATTGAGATTACTATTAAATATTTATACTTTTAGACAAAATGAATGAAACTCAAGTGATTCGTATGACGTATAGTAATAAATAATAATATACGACGTAACGTAGATAATAGATATTAGATATATGTACGAGACTTGAGACTTAGAAACGTAGAGACGTTATGTATGTAATTTAGGGTAGTAGATAGTTTTTTGTCTGTCCTTTAAAATTTTCATTGAACCTAATTGGGTGATTTTATAGCGTCAGCTGGAAATAATTGCAATATCTTATAACCGTATTTTTTTTTAATTTCTTGAAGACAAATTGCATTAGACTTACAAGTTCAAAAGGTTTTTTGATATTAAAAATGTATGTCCTTAAAATTTGCAATGATTACGTATGCTTAACGGCTAGTTATACTTATACCTACTTATAACTTATATCATTGATACGTCATACGTGTCACGAGTGTCATATTGGATTCGTTCTGTCTGAGATAAAGTCCCATTTCCCATACTCTCACCGCACCTATTATACCTAAGTAGTAAGTCCATGTCATTTGGACACAGCTACTAAATTCATAGCAAAAATCTTTCAGCTTGCATCCAGTATGTGTACAATAAGTAGTCTCGTTTCATCGCTATATAGCTCCATGCGTATTATAATTATATAGACCATGAGTAGTCAGTAGATGAAGTACCTGGATATAATAATTAATAATATATATTATTTTTGTTGTTTTTTTGTATTTATTCTTCAACTACAAAGGTAAATAGCCTGGCACCGTGTGGGTGTGGGGGGGGGCAGTTGGTTGGAACACGTTTGTATATTGTATGTGTGGCGAGGATGTATTGCTTAAAACCCGGATGGTCACCCATCCGAGTGCTAGCAACGACGGCCGGTACGTACGTTCAGAACGTTGCCGCATATTGAGCGTACGACCGCGCCTCAACAGGCCACATATTTTATTTTATTTTATTTTACAATTAACTCATTTAACTAAGAAGAAATCTTTTGTTAAATTAACAATAAAATCCATTCGTATTCCTTTTCCTTCTTCGGTATTTATCTGTCATACTTTCCACTGATATGCTATGGATAGAGATAGAATATGTTGATAACTTTTGCATTTTTTTTCTTTAATCTTAATAAAATAATGTATACAATGGTTACCAAACTACAAATTTGATTCATGCTTCATGATTGGTTCAAAATGTATACATTTTAATCTTAATTTTTTTAGTATATTATAACATAATTGTTTCATACTTTTGTGACATACATATTATTATATCTAGGTTTTTTTTAATATTTGTACATTGTAGTCATTTTTCTTAGTTATTAAATCCTACTTCTATAGTTATGTATTATAAAAGATAGATTACGTTTTATACAGTTGCCAGTTTGCCACCACGTAATAATATTCTATTAAAACTTAAAAGTAAAACAAATACAAATGTTGGATCTAATTTGCGTGTTAGCATGTTACCTAAAAAACAATCATGTTAATTGTATATTTTCAGATTTGTAATCTAAAATTTACTGCATATTCTTTTTGATCATATAATCATATCCTAGAAATAATATAAAT